CTCTTCCGATCTTGGGTACTATGTGAAACATGCTTAATCAAATATCCTCCCTTCACATAGTACCCATTTTGTGCGAAGAACTCTCTCTCTCTCTCTCTCTCTCTCTCTCTCTCTCTCTCTCTCTCTCTCTCTCTCTCTCTCTCTCTCTCTCTCTCTCTCTCTCTCTCTCTCTCTCTCTGGTGTTTTGTTTTTCTTTAAAACCTCTTTTTGTTTATACTTAGATGATAAGTCATCATAATCAGTAAGTTTTAAAAGAGTTGCACGCTGAAAATTATCGTTGGTGATTAGCGTACAGTGGTGTCTCCGTCGTGCTCAAATCTTGGGTCCGCCTCTGCTTATCATACAGTGATTATTATTCAGATCGTTGTGTTTACTATTCGCAGAAAAAAGCGGGGAGATAAAAGGAAGAATAAGAAGAAGTGCAAATAAACTGCAGCTGTTAGTATAAAACTCAGACCACCGAGATAAAAATATAGATCCTGTAATATAAATATTTCTCAACAAAGTATAATTATGTCACCCTCCAAATATCTGTTTAATTTATTTCCCCCTTAAGAAGAGAAAAATTGTTATACTTACTAACATCATATTATAATGCATGCAGAATGGAAAATTGTTCAATAGATGGGTTGAATGGGACGAAACCTATGTACATGAGGAAAACAGACAAAGAAAAACATGTAGCTGGTGAAATGCATGATTAGTCCTACTCAGAGACGTGGAATGGAAACATGGGGTAGATAAGAACAAAGATACCGATGGAGGCACCCAATTTAGGAAATACTCTGTGAGATGTATTTTATCCCAATGACTTGAAAGGAACAAGAAAAGAAAAGAGAGTCCCCCACCTCAACAGGAGAGGTAAGATACATATTGGTATTCGTTGTGACAATGAATAGGCTAGTTTGTGGCCTGATATTTTGTTTTTTTTTTTTTGCTTATTGCTAAAATCAGGGCATGCAAAGTCAGGAAAATTAATTGATAGTACAATATTTTTGGGAGGTTGGTTTTTGTCCATATATCATACCTCTCTGGGGTCTACAAAAAGGCCTCTATTTTGTGGGTTTTTTGTAAATTCAAGGAAGGCTTCTATATCTTCATCATTCTTTAAGGCTTTTATGCACCACAAATCCTCCGGACATGATAGTAACTTCCAATGTGGGATGTCTAGTTTTAGCTTGTCACAACATCCAATCTCTGTGACAACCACCTTATTGCAGCTGCTGCTGTAATTATCCTTAGACGCCGTGGCCAAGTTGTGCACAAATTTACAAAGTGTTCGTACCAGCTTCCTTGATGATGGTCCCTCCCTGAAAATTCCATATACGAAGAAAAGACCAAAAGGTTCAAAGAATTCCGGCATTGAAGGAGCTTTGAAGCATGAGAATCCCTTTCTCATTAGTCTTGACATTTTTCCATAGAGGAAACAATTTAATGTTGCTTGCCCTACTCTCAGCTTGAATATTTCCCCACTATCCCAAACGCTCATCATGGCCCAACTATTTGGAACCTTACCATCTCTTCCAAATTCCCCAGTAGATGACTCCCCTCGCCAATAAGCCACCCACGTTCCTAAGCTCAGCTTATTTGTAAGAATATTGTCTATATCGTGCGGGAAGAAATCCATTGAACTCATCACTTTTCGATACAAGAATTCAGCTTGTTCCACCTTGAGTTTCATTATCTCTATACCTGAAAATACAATGTATAGGTTTGAGATGTATATTTAACTTTATGTTTGTTTACTTTTACATAATCCACCACTGAATAGCTTGATGCTTGTACGTAATAGTACCTGGCGGTGAACGGAATGAGCTCGGGTTACTAGCTGCCGGGTGGATGAGAATGGTTGGATTTCTGAATTTGACATAGCCAAACTTGTTGACGAAAAGTTTGACGGAGGCTTCATTGTCTTTCTCAGTGGCCATGTAAGCGTAATCAACCTCATTGGAGATGAACCAATCTTCCATATGGCGTACTAGTTTCGAACCAATTCTTTTTCTACGATGAAGGGGAGACACCCTCAGTCCCAACATATATCCTACTTTTGCTGCATTTTTTGGTGGTTTGTGGAGGGTTACCACCTTTATAGTGCCTTGAATAACACCAACGATTTCATTATTCAACTCGGCCACCTAGGGGAAAAAAAATAAACAAAAATTTGTCTTTGAAATAAAGGGAAAGAAATTAAAGTGGTGATGATAAAAAAGATGAGAATATAGTGGTACCAGCATGTTGTACACGGGACTATTACGGATTCTACAAATGGGGTCACCCATGGTATCTGTGTAAAGAAACACATTCTCAGCTGGTCCTACTTCACATCTTCTTTCAAGATCTTCTACTCCAAATCTATCGACTTGCCCATTGTAGCTCCTTATCTTAACCATCTTCACCCAAATGCCACTTTCTTTCCTTTAAAATGAAACCAAGAACTTAAAGAGAATTCAAAAGGGATTTCAGTAGCATGGCAATTCACAAGAAGGGGAAAATGTTTGGTGGTTCATATTCAAAATCAGAAAGAAGAAGACACACGGAGGGAGATGATTTTAGATGGTTCGTATTTATACATGGGACAAATATAAAGGAATATATGATCAACATAAGCCTAGGCCTCCAAGTAGTGATGTTAGACAAAAAGTTGATCAATTATAGAATGTGTGTGTATGCCTTGTCTTCAGCTTATTGTTTAGCACGTTAGGATAACCTCAGGCACACGACATGGTGCATGCCTAAGCATATGTCCTGTTGTCCTCTCTTGATTTGTTATTAGCCAACTTAATTATGGCCTTAACCGAACATTTCTTGTACAATACATGTAGACATACGTAACCCCACCAACAACCCCCATTCATCCGTACCATATAGTCGGCAAAGCCCTAAATATCTTGTAGATTGTAGAATCTAATCATATAGTCTCCACTCCCTTTTCAGAATCATGATGAAAAAAATCTATCTTCCTTTTTCTTTTATATTTTCTAATATACCTATTGAATTCGGTTGAGATCATTAGTTGACAGATGGTATCATTACAAGATAAGATTAACGTAAATGAAGAGTCTAGACTGCATTAAGGGGATACGTGTTCATTGGACAGCCTAGGGTCTAGTATTAATTATTAGCATTACTATATTTCTTAATTATTTGAATAAATTAATGACTTTGGTATGGTTAGATTGAACCCTTCTTTTTATAAAGGAGGAGAGGAGGTCACTTTCAGTTCGCACTCAACTTTTAATGTGTAAATCCATATTATGATTCGTTCTTGTTTTGGCGCTGTGGCACAACTAAGTGGTCCCTTATAGCTCTAACACTTTGATACGAAAGTGAAATTCCACTATATTATGTCGCTACTTTCAGCCAAGTGATAATTAAGTAATTAATTATATGTATTGAGAATGCAACTACTGATAATGCTTTCGCTAAACTTGTTTGCTAGAGTAATTTTCAATCTTTTTTTCTTTTTAAACGTTAAATGTTCTTAAAGCTTGGGACTGGGGAAGGGGAATTAGGGGGATAGAGAAGCTCTTGGCAGGAGTTTCTTTTCTCTTTTATTTATTTTGTTTTTCAAATCTGTATTTCGATGGAACATGCAGACGGAGGCTTTTCATTGAGATTATATTGATATCTTTACATCTCAACCGAGGAAGTGCCAACACTATAATTGCCCACAGTTGTTGTTCAATTTTCATATTTTTCTTAATTAGCTTGATTAATACGATAAGGATTTACTTAGAGTCTGTTTGGAAAGCCACCCTATAATTGAAATTGGTATAATTACTACACAGCCTAGTAATTACACAGTTGTGTAATTACCACAACCTGTTTGTTTGTCATAGTGTAATTACAAGTTTACTGTTTGGTTGCACAAGTTTAATTACACAGTTAGATTAAATTTTAAATTAAGGAATTATCAAAACTTAAAAATTAATATAATAAAGATATGCCTATAAAATTTTATAGGCTTAAATAATATTATATTTGGTATTTAAGTTGTATATTTTTTCGTGAATATACATTAATTAGTAATCATATATTTATAACTAATATTGTAAAAATAATTTATATAATGTATATCTTTTAAATTAATAATATTTAGTTTAGATACATACAAAAACTAAAAATATACGTTTTGTAAGAACATCATGGAATTCATGTTTGATAAAATAAATTAATATTTATAAATATAGTGTCATAACATTATTCGAATGTTTGACAAAGCTAATCTATCAATTCTAACTAAAAAATGAACAACATGCAATATGAGTCAATACTGCTAAAACAAGTAAATTAGAACCATGAATATATGTCACGACCCAAAATCTAACCATGGTCATGATGGCACCTATCGTGTTACAAGGCAAGCCTATTTTCCAAAATATTACTACTAAACCGATTATAAGAAATTCATAAAACATTTTCCACATTTGAATTTCTCATAAACTAAACAACTCTAACTATAATTAATATAAAATACGGAAACGAGCCCCAAACATCAGGGTGTCACTAAGTCATGAGCGTCTAAAACTATACACTAAGATATATAAGCTGTCTAACTATCCACAAGAAGCAATGACAAGAGGAGTAACAAGGTCCTGCGGACACTAGCAGGTACCTTGCAATCTCCACAGATAGCCGGCCTGAAATCAGCGATCGCCGCGCTCTAACTCACCTAGATCTGCACATAAAGTGCAGGGTGTAGTATGAGTATAACCAACTCAGTAGTAACAGAAATAACTAAGGAACTGAGTAGTAGTGACGAGCTAAGTAAAACAATGCAATTACTTCTTTCCACAATTTAAATATAACCGAAATAAGCAGGTAAATTCCATAACTCAGTAAATATCATATAGAAGTTTAATAGTGCAGTGAATAATTCTGGAAAAAGTGGACTGACGGGACGTCCCAGTTATCACAAATGCTTACACCGTAAATATGGCATCATCACGGGAAGTTCGAAGAGATGGATATCAAAGTCGTTTCTTATCGCTCCACTCTAAGAAACGCGGGGACTATCTATATAGGGTAGAAATCGATGGCCCGATTTCACGAGCATCACGGCATCTCGAGGGCTTCCATTGTTCGACTCCGAGAATCCTCGACGGTCGATTTCGAGATAGTTCGACTTCGAGACGTTATGAGTAATGACCGGCCCCGGGACAACGTGAATCACCGGTCTCGGCGAATCAACGTGGAGTTCCCAAGGCACGTGACAAGAGCTGACAAAGCCTAGTGGACTAGTCTGAAAACGAATCAAGGCAATAAATGGTTGTACCAGTCCATATCTTTGTAATTAACACATTTGTGCTACGTTGGGATTTCTCCTCCTATATAAAGGGGGTCCCTGTCATTGTGTAGACATCTGTTGCTCCATACTAAAATATACAAGAACATTCTCTCTGCTCTCTAACATATTTTCTAGAGTTCGTTGCTTCATTTATTGCTTACATTCATTGTGTTCTATTCATTGTTCTCCATTTATTGCTTATTATTGGCCATAAAGAGCCGTCATTGATCTTATTACAATTGTTAGTCGCCCATCGACTACCCTTGATAGCTTCCAGCCGAGCATCCGACTCGACCTTGAGGCCCCGAATAATCAATCTCGAGGCCCCGATTCACAGTGATTCGGTTTAGTTAATATCTCATTTTAAGCTCTCATTTCGCTACGATAGAAATTGATGGCCTGATTTCACGAGCATCATGGCATCTCGAGGGCTTCCAGTGTTCGACTCTGATAATCCTCAACGGTCAATTTCGAGACAGTTCGACTTCGAGACGTTATGAGTAATGACCGGCACCGAGACAACGTGAATCACCAGTCTCGGCAAATCAAGGTAGAGTTCCCAAGGCACGTGAATAGAGCTGACAAAGCCTAGTGGACTAGTATGAAAACGAATCAAGGCATTAAATGGCTGTACCAGTCCATATCTTTGTAATTAACACATTTGTACTACGTTGGGATTTCCCCTCCTATATAAAGGGGGGTCCCTGTCATTTTGTCGACATCTGTTGCTCCATACTAAAATATACAAGAACATTCTCTCTACTCTCTAACATATTTTCTAGAGTTCGTTGCTTCATTTATCACTTACATTCATTGTGTTCTATTTATTGTTCTCCATTTATTGCTTATCATTGGCCATAAAGAGCCGTCATTGATCTTATTACAACTGTTAGTCGCCCATCGACTACCCTCGATAGCTCCTAGCCGAGCATCCGACTCGACCTCGAGGCCCTAAATAATCAATCTCGAGGCCCCGATTGACAGTGATTCGGTTTGGTTAATATCTGGTTTTTAAGCTCTCATCTCACTTCTAAGTCTTTCACATAGCATCAACTGCTTAACAACTAGCATAAAAATAGATCACGTATTTTTAGAACCTCACATAATAAAATTTAATTGTTATTACCATTTTCACAGTAAACAGTTTGGTGCCCACCGTGGGGCTAAAAATAATAGTGATTATTTTCTTGCTAGTCTCACTACACAACGCAAGTTATCTTTCACACTTTTTCTTGCCCAAGATCTTTGATTTCAGGTCAAAATGTCTGATTCAGTAAACAACAATCTTGAGAACCACGGAGAAAATGGTGTTGACGTCCCAGGTGTTGGTGTACCACCATGAAACCCTGAGAACACACCGGAACCAATTCCCGTGGACGCAGTTTCACGCAACGCTCAACATGTTGAAATAAGCTCCCACACCAATAGGAGCATACACCAGGGCGACCAACAAGAATCTTAGAAAACCCCAGCTAGAGAAGAACGGGAGGTTAGCCTTCACGTTATTTTTGAAATTTTGCAGGCACAACAGCTGGCTATTGCTCAGCTGCAAAGTCACCAAGAGAACTCTTAGCACGGTAGCACCAGGGACGGCTCCCCCAGCCGAACAGATACCAGAGAGGTCAAGCAATAACGGGTCAGCAGTCGACCCCGCCGTCGTAAAGATGCTCGAGGACCTCACGAGGAAGATCGAATCGGGCGAGAAGAAGATAGAGGCCAACGACAAGAAGGTCGAGACATACAACTCCAGGGTCGACCAAATTCCGGGCGCACCCTTGATCTTAAAAGGTTTGGATTCAAAGAAGTTCGTACAGAAGTCGTTCCTACAGGAAGCGGCTCCGAAACCCATTCTGCAGAAGTTCAGAATGCCAGACCTCCCAAAGTACAACGGAACCTTGGACCCCAATGAGCACGTTACTGCTTACACCTGTGCGGTATAAGGCAACGACCTGAGGGACGATGAGATCGAGTCCGTCCTGCTGAAGAAGTTCGGGAAAACGCTTTCTAAAGGGGCAATGAAGTGGTATCACAACCTGGCCCCAAACTCAATAGATTCATTTGCCATGCTGGCTGATTCTTTCATTAAGGCACATGCCGGTGCCATCAAAGTAGCAACAAGGAAATTCGACGTCTTCAAGATCAAGCAAAGGGAGAATGAAATGCTTCGAGAGTTCGTATCTCGCTTCCAAATAGAACGGATGGAACTACCACCAGACTCCGATGACTAGGCAGAGCAGGCCTTCACTCAAGGTCTGAATGAACGAAGCTCGGTAGCTTCGAAGTAGCTGAAGCAGAATCTGATTGAATATCCCGCCTTGACCTGGTCGGACGTTCATAATCGATATCAGTCAAAAATGAGGGTCGAGGAGGACCAACTACAAGCCTCGTCGGGCTCGGTATACCCAAGAAGGCTTCTGACGAAGGAGACAAAACCAAACAAAGAAAGGT